GGGGGGGGGGGGGGGGGGGGGGGGGGGGGGGGGGGGGGGGGGGGGTGAGGTGACTGATACCGGGTACCACGGCCCTATAGTACCACAGCTTTCCCCCAGACTTTTGTTCTGCTGACGTGTGTTTCTGTCAGTTTTGTTCTGTTGGATTCTCTTTTACCAAATGGCTGAATCAGAATTTGGATTCAAGAGGGAGCAAGCGGTGAGTAGGCTGAAGGTCAGATCATTAAGTTTGATTTAGATTTGCTTCCTTTTAGATAAAAAAAAAATAGTTATAATACCCCCAGCTGGGTCAGTTGTAACACACTGTATCAGTCTGGTATTCATCTAATGCTAAGCTAAGCTAAGCTCAGTCAGCATGATAACTTCTTTGTTTTTTGGCAGAAATGTTGTGATACTTTCAGAATTTGTTGTTATTGATGGTGGTTATTTGATTTAATTCACCCATTTAATAACTTTTTTATCACCTTCAATTTAAAGGATGCATTGCCATCTAGTGACACAAATGGTGAACTGCAGCCAAGGACAGGACAGACCAGGCCTGGACCTGGCCTCTGGTCAGTGTCCTCCTGGCCTCAGACAGAGGTGAGAGACCAGGCTTTGGACACAAGAGGCTGGTTAACTCATAATACTCTAGAATGACCTTAATGTGTTTTAAATCCGTGGTGTTTTTTACTGCCACAAGACCCAGATATTTACCTGCACGTCCGAGAAGATGACCACCGGCAGGACGACGATGAAGGACACGGCCCACACGGCCGCGCTCACCACTTTGGCCACGCGCGGGTGCCTCCACTTGGTGCTGCGGATCGGGTGGACCACGGCCAGGTACCGGTCCATGGACATGACCGTGAGGCAGAAGATGGACGTGAACTGGTTCATGGAGTCCGCCGTCATGACAACGCGGCAGAGGAAGGAGCCGAACGGCCAATAGGAGAGCACGTTCTGGGTGGTGAGGAAGGGCAGCCCGATGATGTAGAGCTCGTCGGCCACGGCCAAGTTCAGGATGTAGATGTTGGTGACGGTCTTCATCTTGGCGTAGCGCAGCACCACGTAGATGGCCAGAGTGTTTCCGACCAGACCCACCAGGAAGACCGTGAGCGAGATGACCGCGGTCATCGGGGTGCTGCTGCCCTGGAAGGGGACGCTCTGGGTGGA